AAACTTGTGGAAGATCCTGGGCATATCGCAGGGTGGTATCGCCGGATAGGTTCATCTTGAGGTGATGAAACTTAGGTCTTTACGATATTTATTTAATGATTTGCTATCAGTAAGAGGGAAGTAATACCATAACGTGTTTTTTGTCAATGAAAATTTTTTATTTATTCACCAATCTGTAAAGTTTAAGTACACCAAGATATTCATCTGTGTGAGATATCAAAAATACAAAAGATCAAGGTTGATTATCATATCACTATTGCTACCACTATATCTACAAGGAACTAATCCAATCTTAATAATCATCCGATAGAGAATTATTTAGTATAATGATAATTATATCCACCTTAATTTCTCTTACCAATTGATCATGGCTTTTGCACTGTTGTTTGAAAATCCTTTCATTGCGCTCACACCAAATTCTGTACACAGTTGATGTAAAAGCCATTCTCTTAACCTTCACCTTGAACCCTCTGCCCCTTAGCCTGGTACAGTATCACTCTAGAAGGCAATTCCAGTTGTAAGATTTCCACTTGAATTGAAGCCAATTCATCATCTGATTCCATACTTCACTAGAAAAAGAACAATCAAAGAACAAGTGGTTCCTGTTCTCTATGCTTGTACCCAAGCACAAGCAACAGTTATTTTTATTTACAATTCCTCTCCTAATCAATCTATTTTTGGTTAGCAATCTATCTTAGACAGCTAGCCAACATATAAAGGAATGTATTGGATAGTTCATTTCCCCCCAAACTGTGTTATGCCATTGCACCTTGCTAGCTCTAGGGGAAATAGCCTGATAAAGGGTAGAGAGTTGGACTTTGGAATTTTTATAGTATGAGGAGATGAGATGCTTCAGATTGTCTTCTCCACCACATTGAATCAATGCATTGTCTCTAACTTTCAGCATTTGTTTCCATGTCCAGGAATCTCCTGTTTTTGCTTGCACCCGCCAAACACTATTGTCTTTCAAATAATTATCATGTATCCATTTTATCCACATAATTACTTTCTTGGTATGTATATACCATAGATTTCTCAAGGCTGAAGAAAAAGTCTAGGTTGATGTTGAGAAGATACCCAGTCCAAGTTGAACTCTAAGAATAACACTTCTTATAACCTGAATCCTACCAGCATATGATAAAGTCTTACATTTCATCCAATTCTGGAATTGACTTGAGATTTTGTTGAGCAGAGGGAGGCAATCAACAAAAGTTAGCCTTTTGTGCAAGAGGTGAACACCAAGATACCTGATTGGCCAAACTCCTTCTTTGAATCCTAGATATTCATCAATAGAGGTTTTGACAATGCTACTGACTCCACCATAGAAGATAGAGGTTTTCTCTAGATTTGCATCAAGTCCTGTGACATCACTGAATTCCCTCAAGCATTGATTCAATTGTTGAACTGAGTGTATATCACCTTTTGCAAATAAAAGGAGATCATCTGCAAAGATTAGATGAGTGATATTTAACCTCCCACATCTTGGATGATATTTGAATTTATTATCATTTTTCAACATATTCAATCTCCTAGATAAATATTTCATCCCAAAGATGAAAAGATAAGGTGATAAGGGGTCACCCTGTCTCAGTCCCCTCTTCCCTTTAAAATAGCCATGGAGGGATCCATTTAATGAAATTGTAAACTTTGGGGTGGAGACACATGCCATTATCCATTGTATCATTTTGCTAGGAAAACTAAGACCTTTTAGCATACCTTCCAGAAACTTCCAACTGATTATGTCGAATGCCTTCCTTACATCAATGTTGAGCATGACACTAGGAGAAATATGCTTCCTCCCATAGTTTTTAATCAACTCATGTTCTAGCAAAATGTTGCTGGATATTTGTATTCCTTTGACAAAAGCAATTTGTGCTTCATTAACCAAGTAACCCATAATAGATTTGATCTTATTTGCCAAGATTTTTGAGATGAATTTGTACAAACAGTTGCAACAAGAGATTGGTCTGTAATCTGATGGAGTTTTGGGGCTTTGAACTTTTGGAATCAGTGTTATGGAGGTAGAGTTAACCATGCTCAACATTTTTCCAGATTTGAAAAATTCTTGAATAGCTTGAGTAACCTCTTCACCAATGACTTCCCAAGCTGATTTGTAGAAATACCGTAACGTGTTGCCATACAATGTGTGTTAGGACCAAATATAAGGATGTTGAGGGATGGATCCTTACTTCCTCACTGTGTGAGCCCTTATAGATGACTAGAAGTAATGTAGAGTGGTCATTGTACCCTTAGAGACATTGGGCTGGCTGGGAAAGCTATTATCACTGTTCGCCACTTTGACTATTGTTTCCTGCAGCAATGAGACAATATCACACATACGGGGTAATATATGGAAAGCACGTGATTAATAGGATCAACTATTTAGGGCTAGAGGAAAATTGATTGACATATCTCCTGACTGCATTGCATGCACAACTCTTATTTATGCTAGGGGTAAGGTTTTAAGAGTGTAATGAATGGAGGGAAGACTCTCATGCACGCTTCTCCGAGTGATCGAAGGTACTTGAGCAAACATGGTCGATCAGATTTGAGGTACGAGATATCGCATATTTATAGTTTTGTTTGTATATTTTTATTTCTTTATGGAGATCTTTGCGTCAGTCCTAATATATCTGGTTGCAAGGCTATCGCTTGTAGGTTCTCAATAGTCAACACTACACTAACGATGTATGGATATAGTATTGATAAGGAAGGAAAGTCTCAAGGAGATTTTAATACTGGGAGTCACTAGCTCAAGGAGTTGGCTCAGGGAGTGATAGACGACAACCACTCCTAAAGGGGCTCAAACTACTTCTTTAGTGAACTAGTTCCTAGTCCTAAAGGGTTAGGGTTTTTTCTTCTACAATATATGCACTTATGTAAAGATTAAAAAAATACAGAAAAACATACTATATTCATCTTCTTCCTTTCTCAATCTATGATTTATGCATTAGTCATGGGGTGATATATTGGGGCTTCTCGCTGTATCAACGGTGTGGTATCCTTCCGGTCATTGTTCAAAGATCAATAAGAGATGCGTGAAAATCCTTCTGAAGATCTAGGGCAGGTGATCTCTAAATAGAGATTTTAATATTCAATATGTTCACTTGCAGTCTACACTACTGTTAAAATTGGGGCACGCATCTGCATCCCATTCAAATGAACTCATTCATAGTCAACTATAACTATAGACTGTGGGGCAAACTCAAGTAACTCAGGAAGTGAAGCAAATGTATTATATGGTTATATTTGGTGTATCTTTTTTGTTTTGTTGCTGGTTTGTTTCCTTAAAATGAAGGGTTAATTGTGAATAGACCATTTGTATATCTCTACATTGCGAATAGACCCCATGTGTTTTTATTATTGCAGATAGACTCCTCGAGTGATTTTTTTAATTCTTTTCAGTTCTTATCTGCAACAATTGATTTTCACTTAGGGTGTCCATCTACAGCAGCAGAACTACAGCGATGGTAAGTCTAATTTGGCGATATTATAGGGGGTCTATCCTCAATTAACCTTATATATTGTTTAGAGTTGGATAAAAGTGTAGAGTGCGTGAGTGAAGTAGTTGAATGCTAGGAAGTTATAAAGAAAGTTGGTTTCACAATTTTGAAAGAGTGGACGGTAGTTGCTCAGTTAACGTCAAGGGCAACTTTATACCTCATCCAATATTAAAGAACTCTACATTTCGAATGGCTTTGGTTGCAAAGAAAATCTTGCAACTGCCTCTTTCTACAGCCTGATACTTTGAAGTGTCTCTCTCTTATTTTTAATCATATTTTCCAATAGTAAATGTTCATGATATCTAAATTAAGATTGGGAATTATTTTTGATATAACCAAGAAGATAGCTTCATGGAGTACAAATCTTGAATATAATTGAAAGGATATATAAGTACAAAGTCATGGAGATAATAAGGATTGACGTCCTATTTAATTAGCCTCGTTCTAATTCCAATAAAATGAACGGATGTGATTTTGAACATAATGCTGGTATACCAAAGTGAAATTCTTTGAAGTTGAACCTATATTTGCCAACTGATTGTGACTCAACTTTGGCATATTCTCTCTTCTTTTATTACGTGTACCCATAGTCAAAGGAAATAAAGAGCGATAAAAAAAACTAGTCTTTTGGAAGGAAACAAAATTATCAAATACAAAGTCGCAAGAAACTCGAGTTCACAAGATACCTCTCACCTAACACAACTTAGACATTTCACCTGCCACAAATCAAAAATATGAAATTAATCCTTGAACAAGTTAGTGATAAACATGTCATCAATATTTTCAACGCATCATGAAACACAACGCGCCTCCTTGACAAATCCATCTCCACAACGACAAGCGTAATAAATAAAGTGTTGAATTATAGTTAGCCAAACCTTGGTTTACCCCGTCTTTCTTTCACATTTTGATACAAACTTGTTTGACTTTGCTTGAGATTTCAGCATAATTGGCTTTGCGAAATTTGACTAGATAATGGAAATGATGTTGTTGTTGGGGCTATGTTTCAGTTTATTTGGTCAAATTGAAAAGGATATTTTTGTGCAAAATAGTAAATAAACTCTTATTAGTTGCTATTTCAAGGTCCGAAAATTGGTCCAAATATTTCCATCCACTTAGCTCATAAATCAGGAATTAGAATTCTAAGGGAAACTGTATTCATTGCAACCATTGCATAACAAATTTCATGAGTAAAGGCTCTCGAAACTTCAGTGGATGAGGACTTTCGCTAGAAACTATTTTATTCTTTAAAATTGCTTTGAGATGTGTACTGATGTGCGACGAGTCTTAAGAAAAGATAATATTGATGCGTACACACATTAATACACATCAATACAGAGGCATGTTGATGTGTCATAGACATCAAAACTATCTTTTTTAAGATCACACATTTTAAAGCAAATCGAAGAGATAAAAATATTGGTGGACGGAACTCCAAATCAGATTAAGTTTACAAGAGTTTTCACTAAAATTTTGGACACTCTTCCGCACATCAAACTATGATCTCATGAAGGCTAAGCAGAAATCACAATTTTCAACAGGGGGATCACCAAGAGCAAGATTAGCCAACTCCCTTCTTAAGGCCTTTCCAGTTGCTGATTTCGGTACCGAGTTAACAAATACAACCTTGCGTATCTTCTTATAAGGAGCAACCTTGAAAATCAAAAGACAAAAAGTTACTTATGTTTTTTTTTAAATTGTAAAATGTGGTTAAATACGACTCTTTTTGTGTACTTTCCATGTATAGAGATGTATATACCTGTTTCGCCACATAATCCATGACTTGACTTTGGCTGAGATTGCTTCCCGGTTGTCTCACCACAAATGCTACAGGTATTTGCCCCACGTCTTCTTGCGGATACCTGCAACTTTTGTTTATCAATCAGACTAGAGATGTTAAATGGGTGGGTATGGGTTTAAATGGGCGGGCCATAAATGGGCGGGCATGTTTTGCCCATTTACCCATTTATGGCTCATTTAACATTATTTAAATGGGCGGGTTTTTGCCCGCCCATTTAATAAACGGGTCGCCCATTTGCCCATTTAACTATAGTACATATATATGTATAATACTTTTGGGGTGTTTTTTGTAAACTTTTAGGGATTTTTTTGTAAACTATTGTGGGCTTTTTGCAAACTTTTTGGGAGCTTTTTGCAAACTTGTTGGGGCTTTTGATAAAATACTAACAAAGATAGGAACATAAACAAAGATAAACAAATGCAGACAAATTCATGATTGAACCATTTACAAGCCTGGATAAAAGTACAGACCTCACACATTTGCAAAATTAACCTCAAATTTCCAAACCAAAAACCAAAAGATCAATAACAACAAAATTGCGAGTATATTTAAATGAATTAAGATAGAAAACACAAGGTATGCAAGGATCTGTATAAGATCAATAACTTGATATAAACGTCATCATAACTATCAGCAACACGATCACGATTAGTAAGGACAATCTACTTAATTACTTGATAAACTAGAAGAGTAGTAAGTTCGTCTATAAACAAAATAGTAGCACAACCATAGTCTACTTATTTCCCATCTTTCAAATGAATCCCACCGTTATATTATAGACGGAACCACATAAGCTGCAGGATTCAACAACACCAACAAAGCCATGGGAGACCCAGCAGCAGCAGCAGCAGCAGCAGCAGCAGCAACAGCAACAGCAGCTTCAGCAGCAGCGCTTGCTTTCTCGTCAGAATTCGTCTGTGCCATTTATTGAACAAATTCAAGGTTCTCTGCAGCATCAACAGTCAGTTAACCAGTATATGCCAGAGTTGGAGCAATTTTTGAAACTTCAGTTAGAGGAGCAACATCATCTTCAACAGCTGCAGCAGCAACAAGAATTGCATCAGCAACAACAGCAACTTCAGCTCCAAATGCAACTTAAAATCATAAAACTTTACTTGGTTAATTGTTCAATTTTCGAACATTTGCTGCAGCAGCAGTTGAATGACCCTGTTTATCAACTTAGTTAAGTGTTACGCGGCATGAGTCATAAGAACATTTCATATATAAACTATTAATGAGATTGCTAAGTCAAACTATCAAATTAAACAATTAACCAAGTAAAGTTCATGAACCATGGGAACTGTATTAATATATAAAGAACTTAATATTTGTAATCTCATGATTTAAGGGAAATCCTTCTTGGTATTTGTACGTGTAGTGTAAAAGTGAGGCAAAAGCTCAAAAATTTTGCTTTCTCATATACTAATTAATTGTAGGATTAGTTGAACATACAAGTACATAAAAGTATTCACACTTTAAATCATTACACAAGAATCACACATACTGATATCACAAAAATAGTGCATTTATAGTACATAAAAGTATCCCACCCACAAAAGGGATTCCATACCTGAAAACTTCTGCTATAGTCTCATCTTCTGGAGAAAATTTATGTGCCTTTCTCAAGTCGGAAACAGCAGCCTGATCAAGCGGTGAGTGAATAATACTATCATTAGTGGATATGATGCTTTAAAATGGAGACAAGATGGTGGACAGTGGACACAATAATTGTTTAAAATCAAGACACGAGAGTGAAACTATGTTGCATATATCAGATTCCATATACTTTTTGAAGTAAATTGCACTATACAAATTTTCAAGTAATGGATATGAATAGACATATTTATCATGTCTTGGTGTGCCATACATGCCGATTTTTTGTTTTGAAAGTTTATATATCGTAAAAATCAAATGACGCTAGATGATTTAGAGAAAACCTAAACTATGATTTCCTCTTTAAAAAAATAATTTCCTCTTTAAAATATGTGATACAAGTACATAAAAGTATTCACACTTTTATGTACTATAAATGCACTATTTATGTACTATAAATGCCTCATTAACATCTCAGTATTCACACTTTAAATCATGAAACAGAGACAACATGTCTCTCTCAGTTTCATTGTTAAAAACTTTCTAGGAATATGACCCATCAAACTATAAAAATTTCCCCAATCAAATACTAAATGATAAAATTCTAAATTGTTTTACCATACAAAACACAGGTAAAGGACAGCCTGAAAACAAAAAGGCAAATGGCAAGGCAACTATCAGTCTATCACAAAGGAGAGGACAGCAATTGAGAAGGACAATGATCCAGCTACAACAAGCTCACAAAGTGGTGCTCTTGGAGTCCAAGACTTGGACTTTAAGCCAACCACACGCGCATCAAAGACAACCACAAAAACATAAACTTATATTAGCATACACATGGGCTGTATGCATCATTGCTAACTAAAACTAGGTAGCAAAAGAGTGAGAAGTTCTTCATTTTATATTATTGTGGAAACATAAACTTATGAGAAATAAATACATATTAAAACAACAATCAATATTTAGCCAACAACATTAGAAAAGCAAGTTTATGATGTACACTAATTTCATGGAACAAGTAAAATATTACCTTAATCACTTTCGCCTTTCGATTCAGAAACCTCTAGATTACTGAAATCATGTACTAATAAATTTCCTTCTTCAATGTCTGCCAGAGCTGCATTTAATAAAAAAAAATAATATTAATATTTTGTGATAAAATATGTAGCCCACAACAATACAAAAAAGCAATAAAGGAAAAAAAAAGAAGGCAACTCACAAGGAATCCCGTCTAACCAAGAACCAGTACAAATTTGAGCTTCAGCATTCTCCGGAAGAAGACGATTTCGATACTTGTCAAGCACACGTCCCGCAATGCTGAAAGCCGATTCAGAGGCCACCGAAGTAATAGGAATACTCAATATATCTCGAGCCATCATCGACAATTGAGGACGCTTCTCGCATTCGCCTTTCCAATACTCGAGAACATTCAAATGATCATTTTTCTTCCAACTGACTAATTTTTCATCTAGATACTCTTCTAACTGAGACTTGGACCTACTTGCTAAATATAATTGACTCTCAAACAGTTCAAACTCAACCATCTCATCATTAGGGGCATCTCCAAAGTTCTCTTCACCACTGCTCTCAGCTACAGATGTATCTAGAGATGCTCGCTCATATTCTTTGTAAAGCTTTCTCAGTTTCTCTAAGATAGTCAACACATAATCAGAACTAACTCCCAATTTCTCAAAGCAAAACTCTACATACTTCACCTTGTATCGGAGGTCCAAAATGACTACAAATGACAAAATAACACTGTAGCATTCCCAATATTTATCAAATTTTATTTTCATATCATTTTCCATGGATTTTATATCTTGATCATCACTTTTCATCTCCTCCATTATGCATTTTTGAATCTTAAACACTCCACCAAAATATAAGTTGGCAGTTGGATATTTACTTCCAGAAAAAAGAGTGGACACTTCATAAAATGGTTTTAAAAACTTTGCAATTTTTTCAGCCTTTACCCATTCTTCACTTGATGGCAAAAAAGTGAAGTTTGGATCAATCGACTCCAAGTGCTCAAATGCCCGACGAAAGTTCAGAACACTCTCCAACATTAGAAACGTAGAATTCCACCTGTTGGACACATCCTGTTGAATTTTTTTTTCGCTTTACCTGAACAAGTTTGTGCAATGCACTCTGCAAACTTCTTTTTTCTTCCAGGAGGACTCTTCACATACTTGATGCATTCTCTTATCTTAGACAATGATTTATCAATAACCTTTAGCCCATCTTGCACAACAATATTTAGAATATGAGCACAACACCGCACATGCAAAAAATCACCATTACTAACAAAATGATCTTCTAAAACTGGATGATATTTTAAAATTCTCATGAAAACATCATTATATGATGCATTGTCCAAGGTAACAGTAAAAATTCTTTTTCAATACCTCAATCCTTCAACAAATGAAATAACTTCTCTACTAAAATTGCTCCACTATATGGGGGTGAAACATGAGATAGAGCTAATATCTTATTCTGCAATATCCAACAGTCATCAACATAATGTGCAGTGAGAGACATATAGTAGTCAGAGGTGGAAGAAGTCCATAAATCTGTGGTTAGACAAATTCTACTAGGAACTAGCTTTAAAGCTTGTTTAAGATTTCCTTTCTCTTTCTTGTACAACTTGATCAAATCTGTTTTAGCAGTGTTCCTTGAAATATGCTTGACTTTAGAATTTAGAAAACTATGCAACTCACGGTTTCCTCGATGTTCAACAAAAGTGAATGGATAACCATGCAATGTAATTACTCTAGCAAGCATTTCTCTATATTTTTCTTGATTTAGTGGCATACTTTTCCTGGAAGAATCAGCCTCAACTAAGTTCCTTTTCGGGCAAGAATCCATGTGCCTCAACATTGTCTTAGTGCCATGACCACCAACATAAATATGATTACACATATTACATTGAACTTTAGTTTTCTCATCATTATCGGTAGATAACTTCGTAAAGTGATCCCAAACTTTTGATGTTTGTCTTCTTTTACGTTTAGAAGTACTCTCATCATCACTACCATCATCATGGATGCTAAATTGATCATTTAAAGACATGATCGCTGAAAAAAATAATTTAATAGCACATCAATTTTGGTAGTAAACACATAATACAGTGGAATATAAATTGACTCAACATATTCATTTACTTTTCTACATCCAGGAACTTGTATATAAATTATTTCTACTATGGCCAAAGTACGTAACAGTGGGGGCAAAAACAGCCAGGTTTCAATCTCAAGCACGTACTACACAAGCAAAGAAAAAAACAGATAAAAACAGATAGATACAGCATATACATAACATTTGTGGGATATCATTACTGATTTTTAAAATACATAACATTTGTGGGAGAAGCTTAAAACCTCCAACTATTAATTCCTAGAGCTTGGATATGTCATGTGCCTCACCAAAAGATTTACATTGAAAATCCAAATGAAAAACTGTATATTGGCAAAGTTATGATTTAAAGAATTGAACCCTGAAAAGTATCAAAATCCAAGGGTGCAGTGTATTCAGCATGTCATTTTGGAAAAAATTGTAATCTTCATCTAGAGAATGCATCATAATAACCCATTAAAGTTATGATTTTAACAGATTTAACTACCATGAAGAGTATCCAAATCCAATAGTTCAGTGTATTTACCAAGGCGTTTCGGAAAATTTTGTAATATTATTGAGAGAATTCATCATAACAACCAATTAAACTTATGACCTTAAGAATTTAACCATAATGAATATCCAAATCCTAGAGTTCAGTGTATGAATTAAAAACATAACATCAATGGATTACTGTGATTCTAGCCATTTACTAACTAAACTGGAACATAATGCCCATAATTTCAGAAAAAATTCAGAAAATACCCAAATTAGCCTTAGGGTTTTGAGGAAAAGAACTTACAGGTGAGGCGGCGAAAATGAGGAGCAGGAGAAGCGGCGAGATCCGATTTCAGGAGGAGGAATTACGGTTGGGGTTCGAGAGGCGGTTGAGGGCCTTGAGGCGGCGGAGGAGGAGGCGGAGGAGCGGTTGAGGCGGCGGAAGAACTCAGAGACTCAGAGAGAGAAAGTGAGAAACGAAGGGATTTTAGGGTTTTGGGCGGGTGGGCGGGCGGGCGGGCGGGTATAGAATGCCCATTTAGACCCGTTTAAGTGGATGTAAAATGCACCCGCCCGTTTAGACCCATTTAATTAAATGAGTGGGTTTTGGGCGGGCCAAATAATGGGTGGGCCAGATGGGTAAATGGGTATGGGCATAAATTGCCTTCCCTAAATCAGACAAAGTAATTAATCAAGGAACATTGTTTGGCTTCATGGTCCTCCGATTTGTGGAAATTGAATGAAGAGGGTCGTTTGATACATTTTTTGCGAAGAAAGTTGCAAGTTAGTCGTTTGATACCAGGTATAGAATTGGTGCGCAAAATTATAATTTTCCACTAATATGCATACAAAAAGATTATATGATTGCCATTTTGTAAATTGCAAGTAGGATTACAGTCATAAAATTTTTCGAAGGATTAATTGTAGATAGAGCTCTGTCTATTGCCAAATTGAACTTAGTACCCCAGTAGTTCTACTGTTGCCGATGAACATCTCCCGAGTGAAATTTTTTTGACCATTTTCAGAGGTCTATCTGTAACAATAGAAGTACAAGTTCAGTTTGGCAATAGTATAAGTGGTCTATCCGCAATTAACCCTTACCCTTTTAAAACATACATGTGGGGGTACAATTGTTTGTTGCAATGTCTGACTCACGTTTGCAAACAGAGTAGTTTCACTTATCGCAACTCATTTTTTTAACAAGCAATTTGTTTTACAATTGTAATTAGAAACTACAGCAGTTGAAATGAAGAAAATACTGAAATTGTTTCTGTAAATTTCAAATGTAATTATGAAACAATCTAAATGAAACTTACGGGACTACTGTAGCATCAGTCACGTCTGATAATGAGTGCAGAAGATGCTCTAGTTTAGCTGGAGGAACCTAAACATGAGATTCATATATGTTATGGTGTTCTTAATCATCAAAGTGTAACCCTTTTGTCGGCAACGAATATGTGTACTTCTGTATGCAATGCCCCAATGAAATTGGCAGCCAAAGATCAACAAAGATTCAAACTTAGCCGAATTGCCGAGTCGACATTCCTTCATGTCAACTCGAATGGCGGAACTTGTCGGCCTTCTTGTCGAAGACGACTCCCAACGAACACACTCAACCAATTATTCGACGCCTTGCGAGGACGACTCGAAAGGCGTTACTTCTCGGCGAAGCTAGAGGATGACTTCAGTCTCGAGCCTCTCTTGCTGACACAACATCGATGTCGCATTTAATACTTGGCAGACACCATCATACCCCTAGCTCCGATAGCCTTCATGACTTATCAGACCACGTCGGCACCGTCATGCCTAGAACCGCTTTACATTTAATGCAGAGGTGATCTCTCCTCCACTCGCCGAGCGACACGTGTAAATTATATGCTGACGCAGCCGCCAGCCTATACTTCTTCACTGTCATGTTGTGCTTGGTCGAAGTGTCCATTTTTCCCTTCCAGCACCATTATAAATAAAGATACTATTCTAACATACAAGGGGTTGAAAATCTGATCTTCAAAGATATATCTGGAAATTATACTGCACACACAAGAACTCTCACAGTTCTTTACTTTTCCCACTCAAGTTCACCAGCTAACTTGATCGTCGGAGGTACCACGGGGAACTAGTCTCTGTCTTGTCACGAGTTTCTATATGTTCAAGCTTCAGCTACTCAACTCAGAAATAAATATTCAGGGAAGGAAGAGCCCCCTCATCAATCTCACCCTCATCCAACCATTTTGATTGACTGTGTGATCATTTAACATTAATAGTTTGGCGCCTAACGTGAGGCTACACTAGTAGAATTTGTAGTATTGCTGATGGCAATATCCCTGAAGGGAGCTTGCCGTCGGCGTTGTTTATATCCCTGACGGCAAGAGCCGTCAAGGATGTAGCCATCGGCATTGTAAGTTTTTCGTCAGCGATGTTTAAATCGCTGACGGGTTATCCAACATCGCTGACGGGATCCCGTCAGCGATGTTGAATTATTTTGGGGGGATTTATCCCTCCAAAAATTTCATTATCGCTGCGAAAATTTCATTATCCTTTGCCCTGCCCTCTCACGCCCATCGCACGCCAAGAGAGTTTATACCCTAACCCTGCCCTCTCACGCCCATCGCACACCGCCACCGATCACTTGCCACCATCGCACCGACCGCCAATGTCGCACCTCGCCTGTCGCCCGCATCGCACCGGCACCCGCCCGTCCACTCGCCTGTTCGCCGTGATCTCAGTCGCCCCACCGTCGCCGTTGCCGTGAATCAGTCACGTCGATCTTCTCGAGGTATCACCTCTTACTAATAAGATGTGAGCTCGTCATCTCTCTCCTCTCTCAGATCTCTTGTTGTTTTGATTTGATTTCATTTTGTTCGGTGATCGATTGAGAAATTAGTTGGATTTGTCTTGCTTAGGGAAACCCCTATTCTCTTAATAGATCTAGGATTTTGGTAGATTGAAAACTGATCAAAGGAATGTAAATAAAAATTCATGTTATTTTTGAGAGTTTAATGAGATATTTGCATTTGGGCAGATGTTAGAGTTCAAAATTCTCAGAGTTTGAGGATTGAGAGAAAGAAAATAGAGAAAGGAGTTAGTTTTGGGATAACCAAATTCCTGCTTTGGGGTAAGCTTAAAAGTTGTTGGTTCAGATTTAAAAGTTGCAGTCACAATCCTTTTTACCCCTAAAGGTAGATTTGCCAGCTTGAAAGAAATTGAAGAAATAAAAAACACTAAGCAATTCAGATTGCAAAGCAGCAGTCACTAAACATATGTCCAAAATAACCTGAAAGGTGGACAAATAAGGGATCCATCTGTCTGCAACAGTTCAGGAACTGAGGTTCTGCTTGTTTTGTTAAATGATTTTTAATGGTGCATGGATGTGTTAAAGTGTTAGTGATGTGGCTTTCGTGAGGATGTGATGCCAGCGGTTGTCTGGATTAGGGAGGTGGGGGTTCAAATCATATTGGATAGATGCTCATGAAGCGAAGAAAAGAAAAAGAAAACTTAAAGAGTCAAACAGAGTCTCTCATTGCTATATGAATATTTTATACAAAAATAGTGTTTTATTCATCCCAATAAAGCCAATTCTATTTCCTTGAGAATAACAGTGAAGTTCACTAATCATTTGAAATCCATAGGATGCCAAACATTGTAAGTTTGCTTCTGATTTGATTTGGTTTTTATGTTTATGAATATACTTGAAACATAATGTTAATTGATTATTCTTCTTTTATGATTAATGATTCAATCTTATGAACAATGGAGTTTGAAACATAACTAATAACTAACAATCAGTATCAATGATTACTCTTTTTATAATTTTATCAAACTTCTTGGAATTGGATTTTCAACCTCTAAAGTACCATTCTGCTTTATCCACACATTATTATAACTGATAGCTAACAATCACTATCAATTATTGCCTTTTTAAAATTTTATCTAACTTATCAGAATTTCCTGTTTTTCTTTGGATTTTCAACATTAGTAATTGATGTATTCAATTTAGTTAAATATATCGAGATTGTATTATGTTAAATATCATGATTTTATGAATCAGAAGTCGTTACCCTAGTTTCCCGTCTAATAATGTTGGATGTGAATCTCTTCTGATATAAACTCCCTTAATTCTAGTTGGATGTGAAAATACTTTTTATATATAAAGAGAATAATGTGATTTATGTTAGGAGCATGATCTACATGTAATAATTATTAGATCTGTCCGGGGAGGAGTCCCCTTCTTGTACAGGTTAGGAATACAGTAGTGTATCGTCTATCTTTGTATACTTTTTGCATTTTTACTCCTTCAAAATTTCGATAACACGTACCGCATTATTCTCTGTGTATAATAAGCGTATGCTGTTTTGTTTATCGATCTATAATCGATCTAATATCGATGATTGATACGCATTATAACATCTGCACAGTATACTCGAAGAACAGCGGGTAGGTGCTGCCGAAATTTTTAAGAAATAAAAACACATAAAGTATATAAAGGTAGTTGTAGACACTACTATATTTCTAATGGGATAGGTCTTCCTATGACAGCCGTTAAAGTATCTTATTAAAAATATGAGCATTAGATTTGACTCCCACATCATTTATGTTCTGGTAATTTTCCCTCCGAGATTTATAATTTGAATTTCCTTGATGTTATGAAAAAAGTTAATATCACGCAACCGTTAATTTGATGCGTTACTAATAAAAATTTACATTACCTAATTATGCTTAATTTTATTAATGAATAATATTTTATATATATATATATGAGGATAGTTCCCGAAAAATCATGGATTGATATTCCTCATATTGATAGATGGAGGGATAGTCGATATAAAGATTTTATAAATCAATTCATACAGTACGCCTTGGCAGACCCTCGGAAGTTAAATAGTGATATCGTGTATTGTCCCTACTGTTGGTGTAAAAATAGAGCGTTGGTGGATAAAAGTGATTTACAGAAACACTTAATATCAAGATTTTATGAGGAGTACAAATATTGGATCTTTTATGGGGAAGGATGTCTTGAAGAAATGGAATTGATGGCGGACACCGGTATGTCCGATAGGAGACTAGAAGATACGAGGATAGATGATACACATACGATGCTTGCTAATATGTTAACAGTTCCTAATATATATGAAATTGAAGATGCCGAGGATGCTGAAATTACAGGAAATTCTGGAGGCATGACTGATCATGAGAAGCTGGCGTAGATAATGAAATTAATAGACGACAATGAAAATGATCTGTATGAGGGTTGCACCGAGTTCACCAGGTTATCATAGACGACAATGAAAATGATCTGTATGAGGGTTGCACCGAGTTCACCAGGTTATCATTTATGCTACGTCTTTTGCGTATAAAGTCTCTTAGCGTATGAGGGTTGCACCGAGTTCACCAGGTTATCATTTATGCTACGTCTTTTGCGTATAAAGTCTCTTAGCGGAAAGGCAGATAAATATTTTAATATGTTGCTTGTGTTGCTGAGAAAAGTCATTCCAAATAGAAAAGTGAGCATACCAGAAAATTATGATAACGCAAAGAAGATTGTTTCCATTATAGGACTTGATTACAAAAAAATCGACACATGCCCTAATAATTGTATCTTCTACTATAAGGATAACAAAGATCTTCAGGAGTGTCCAATTTATGGAGTATCACGGTGGGTACAACGCAAAAAATATTCAACACATGGGACGACAAGGTCTATGCTTAAGCAAAAGAAGATTCCAGCAAAGGTCCTTCATCATTTTCCCTTAATACCTAGGCTAAAACGGTTGTATATGAATAAATACACTGCTAAGCAAATGAGGTGGCACATGGAAGAATGTATAGATGATGGTAAAATCTGACATCCGGCCGATGCAGAGGCGTGGAAGCATGTGGATCGAACTTTTCCTTGGTTTGCGAATGAGTGTAGGAATGTTAGACTAGGTTTGTCTAGCGACGGATTCAATCCATTTGGGATTATGAGTTCCGATTAGTCTACATGGCCTGTTGTATTAACGCCTTACAACTTACCGCCTTGGCTTTGCATGAAACAACAGTATATGATACTTTCCTTATTGATACCGGGCAAGCATGCACCAGGCAATAACATAGATGTGTTTTTAGAACCGCTAATTGATGAGTTAAAATAACTCTGGACTGAAAGGGTTATGACATATGATACTCATGCAAAGCAGTCGTTCAGACTACGTGGTATTTTACTATGGACAATTAATGATTTTCCAGCCTATGCGAATCTTTCAGGTTGGTCTACAAAGGGAACATATGCGTGTCCAGTTTGTGGTCCAGAATTCAAAGGTCTTTATCTGCAGCACAGTCGAAAGTTTTGTTATTGGTTTAATAGAAGGTGGTTGAACCTAAAGCACAGATACAGAACAAAAAAATGAAGCAAGTTTTTTGATGGTACTGTTGAGAAGAGAGATGCTCCGCGTCTAGAATTCAGGTTGGTTGAGAGGTTCCCTGCTGTCAGGTTTGGAATGAATCGCTATTCGAAAGAAGATTTACTTGGAGTAAGGAACTTGCGTATTAACAAAAGGATACCAAAATGAAAGAGACAAGCACATGTGGTGAGTGATGGGGCTGAAGTCGTAAAATTGCCCTCAGGATGGACAAAATTCAGCATTTTTTTTCAACTCCCTTATTGGAAAGAGTTAAAAATACGTCACAACTTGGATGTTATGCACATTGAAAAAAATATTTGTGATAATCTTTTGTCCACACTGTTGCAAGATGCTAATAAATCAAGGGATGATCTACGAGCTCGTCAAGATCTAACTCTTTGAACATTAGAGAGGAACTGCATCCAAAAGTTATCGGAAATGACAGATTAGAATTGCCTATGTCTCGTATTACGATGTCGAAAGTTGAGATGCAAACATTTTGTCAAGTCCTCAAATCTATAAAGTTACCAGAGGGTTACTCCGCAAACATATCGAACAATGTCCAGGTGCAAGAAAGGAAAATATTAGGACTTAAAACTCATGATTATCACGTGCTTCTTCATCAACTGCTACCTGTGGCACTACGTAGTACTATGCAGAATAAAAAACAGTGAATGTTATTATTGATTTTTGTGGATTTTTCAGAAAGCTTTGTTCTAAAGTTATAGACGACCGTGACTTTGAGAAACTTGGAGAAATTATTTTAGAAACAATAAGTGAAATGGAGATGCTCTTTCCTCCATCTTTTTTCACAATAATGGTTCATCTTACACAACATCTCGCGGAGGAGGCTGCAATAGCAGGACCAGTCCATTATTGTTGGATGTATCCAATAGAGAGGTTAGTATTTAGATACTTTTAATCGTTACCTATCAATATTTATATTTATTAAATGTCAATATCTTTACATCTATATTTGATTAATTATCATTTTTAGATATTTGGGTTCAATGAAGC